GTTCACTAAATGTAGGAAAGGGCAGAATTGCCCTTAATGCTTACATGGCAAATAAAACAAATAATAAACTGAAATAACAAGCTGTCTAAGATAACTACCAACTAACACTGACATAACTAACAAAGGTTACATGTGCTGTCATACGAACACAGTGGGGACCACAGCCGTGGGGCCCACATCAGTGTACTCTACATTTAGCGCAAGTAATTATAAGATGCAAATATTTGGAGAATGGAAAGTTTTCTATTTTTTTAGCACAAAAGAAGGTAAACTATCAATTCCATTAATCAGAATCATGTAAAGTAACATGTACAATGAAATGCTATACAAAATGTACCCAGCATAGCCTTACCATCCTGTATACCCTAATCAAGAAGATAAAACATCAAAAAGAAAGTATTTGTTGTGAGGTGTATCTTTGAAGTCCTCCAGAATCAAAACCCATGAGTAAACTGCTCCTAATGCCCTCCTAGTTAACTCCTGCATTGTACATTATTTCCCTTGAAATATTCTTGCATTTCTTTCCATCCATATGCACCAAGATACTGCTGCACGGATAGTCTTCCATAACTTCCAGCCCTTCTTATTCAGCTTCCCGCACCCCACCACCCTTTTAAATGCTCTATAAATGCCCTTGGCTGACACCACCCAATATTTAATAGTTCGGAGAAATAATTGTATAAAATTAATATTGATTCATTTATCCACTTCAAACAAAGTTATAAGTTGTACCATAGTCCCAATTACAGCATCTGTTGCAAGTGTTGCCTTCAATACATCTGTCTGCAAATAGCATAGTCGGTAGTGAGATATCAATTAATGATGAGATTAAAACTTCAGGGTTCAAATCCTAAACTTATTAGCATACCACCACTCATATCTAAAGAATGATAAAGAAACCCTACCCTATAGAAAAGACTAGAGAAGACCAAACCATTCAAAATGCTTCCAATCAATTCACCCATGCAAGAAAAGCTTCTACATTTAAAAAATAAATAAATAAAAAAAAAATCAACAATATACAAGTACTGTTACTAGAGGAAATTTTGGCAAATTCATTCCTAAACAATATCCAAGTACATATTATTTAAATCAAGTAATCAACATGATGAAACAAAAAGAACATTAATGAAGCTCAATATTAAACATCAAAAAATAATTAAAACTAAACAATTGCAAGGGAATGAAATATTGCAAGTCTAAGTTTCTTTAGTACTTTGCCACTTCCCTTTATATTCTCCTAATACATCTTTTGCTACTTTCCTTGTATCATTTTCCATTTCAAGACAAATATCATTAATCTTTCCATCTAAATTCTAATTCCCTTCTATTATCAATTTGTTTCTAAATTGAGCTAGCTTTTCTCCCTCCAGGTTTTCCCACCTAATTCTTGGACACCCATTTTCTTTCCCATTCCCTAATCCCTATTATCAACATGTTTCTAAGTGCTTTTATAAAAATACATTTTTATGTAAAAGTACTTTCATATAATTGCCAAAGTCTTAAGCAGGTTGATAATGAAGGCAGACTTGGCAAATTCCTTAAGGGGTTTGAGGGTGGGAAGGAATGATGTAGTTGTGAGCCACCTTCAGTTTGCAAGTAGTATAGGTGTGTTTTTTTGAAGGTTGTGATGAAGGAAGCTTGAGAAGCCTAAAGAAAATAGTAAATACCTTTGAGAGGGTTTCTAATCTAAAGGTGAATAGGGGAAAAAGTTGTGCTCCAGGACTTAATATGAATGAGAGTGAGGTTCAGGCGCTGGCAGGGATCCTAGGATGTGAGGTTAGAAACTGGCCTTTAGAATGCATTGGACTACCTTTGGGGGGCAACCCGAAAGCTAAGAGTTTCTGAAAACCAGTAATGGAGAGGTTTGCAAAGAAGCTGGCTTTATGGAAAAAGAACTACATTCAATGGGGGGTGGGAGTGGGGGAGGAGAATTACTCTAATCAAATCCACACTGTCCAACTTACCTATATACTACTTGTCTACTTTTCGTCTTCTGGTTAAGGTGGTAAAGCAATTAGACAAATGCATGAGGGACTTCTTATGGGAACCAGGAGATGAGAGGAAAGACCATTTGGTAAAATGGGATCAGGTGTGTAAATCTAAGGACCAAGGGGGATTAGGCATTGGTAATTTGATTCAAAGAAACACAGCATTACCAGGGAAATGGATTTAGAGGTTTCCAATTGAGAGGGATATGTTGTGGCACAGAGTCAATGGAAGTATTCATGATGTTATGGAAAATGGTTGGGATGCAAAAAGTGGCTCACTTTTCTTCTCACTCCCCCTGGAGAGCAATGCATGAGGTACTCCCAACTTTCCTTAATTTTACCCATTTGATGTGGGTTGTGGAAATAAAATCCTGTTTTGGGAATATTTGTGGCTAGGCAAATTCCCCTTGCTCTATTCTCTTTCTACTTACAAATTTGAACCTATCTCAAAGTTTGGTCTTACCTCCCCTTCAGGGTTGAATTGGGATTTTGGATTCAGGAGGGGCTTATGGGATGTTGAATGTGAGGCTCTTGTATTGTTAATTTGTTATTAGCCAAGCTGGACAATATTTTCAATGACTCTCTGCTACAACCTATCCCTCTCAAGTGGAAACTTCTAAATCCATTTGCCTAGTAATGTTATGTTTCTTTGGAGGGCAATCCATGAGGTACTCCCAACTTTTCTTAGTTTTACCCACTTTGATGTGGGTTGTGGAAATAAAATCCTGTTTTGGGGAGATTTGTGGCTTGGTGAATTACCCTTGAAATTGCAATTCCCCTTGCTCTATTCTCTTTCTACTTACAAATTTGAACTTATCTCAAAGTTTGGTCTTACCTCCCTCCCCTTTGGGGTTAAATTAGGATTTTCAATTCAAGTGGGGCTTAAGGGATAATTGAATGTGAGGCTCTTGTATTTTTAATTTTTTATTAGCCAAGCTAGATATATTGTCCTGAATCAAGACTTGGATGACACTAGAATTTGGGCTCCCTCTCCTAATGCCACCTTTTCTTGTGCTTCTTTTTTCAACCTTCTCATTCATTCTGAGTCCTTGGGGTAAAGTTTCCAGTGAAAGAAATTTGGTGCAAACCTATCCCACCCAAAACACAAGCCTTGTTGTAGGAAGTGTTCCTTGAAAAGATCAATACTTGTGATGTGCTGCCAAAAAGAAGGCCTAATTTGTGCCTCTCTCCTCGTGTGTATTATGCAAAACTAGTGATCAGACTATTCCTCATTTACTTATTTCCTCCCTATGTGTTTTATGTTTGGGAGTATTTCTGCTCTCTCTTTGGTTGCAGATGGATTCCCCCTCATGATGTGGTAAGCCTATCTAGTCCCAACTTCCTGAGGCAGTCAGAGAAAAGGGGGAGAATCATGTGGAAGGTAGTAAGGGCAGCAGTTGTCTGGTCTATTTGGGAGCAGTGGATAAAAATAAGATCTGCACATTGGATAAAAATCTTGGACCTCTTCCAATCAGTCTCAGTCATTGATATTGTAAATTCTTGGACAGCAGTGGCACAAACAGGAACAAGGAAGGAAAAGGTGCATGTGAATTGGACTTCACCAGCTGATAGTAAAATAAGATTGAGCTTTGATGGGAGTTTCATGGGTAATCCAGACAGCAGGTTAGGTATAGGGGGTGTATTCAGGAACCATTTGAGTTTGGTGATGGCATTGTACTCCGGGTCAACTGGTAATGGTGACTTAGAGCTAAACTGCTTGCACTGTTGCAAGGACTAAAACTAGTAAATTAGATGGGGACTCCAAGAGCTAGTCGTGGAAGGGGATTCAAAATTGATTACATCTTGGACTAGGAAATTAACTCAGCTCCTTGGATGTGCAGGCATGAATTTAGGGAGATTTTTACCTCTCAAGAGAACTCAATGCTACCTTTAGTTGGGTAAGAACTGCAAACAGAATAGCTGATATATTGGCTAAACAGGGAGTTAATAGACCTCAGTTGTTTTGGGCAGAAGTTAAGCTTATGCCTCTTGGGTCTTGTTAGAATGCTCCAACCTGTTGTATTCTCCCTAATGTTATTTAATGATTAATGAAATTCTTTGCTGATAAAAAAAAAGTACTTTCATATAAAAAGTACTTCTATAAAAATACTCTTTTATCAATAACTGAAATTTCATTAAAGGATAATAAAGAGAGTCTTGACAGTGAGGCCAGCCAGAAATAAGAGAAGGAGAAGAGAAGAGAAGAGAAGAAGAAGAGAGAAAGGAGAGAAGAAGAGAAGAGATTGGCAATGGAACAGTGTTGGCGGCGCCAGCTTTATTATATTATATAGGGCGGCAGAAATAAGAAGGGAAAAGACCCTTGTGCCCCTGCTGTAAGTGAGTACAATAACAGACAAACAGAAATAAAAAAATTTGAAATAAAAAAACGCCTTAACTAGCCAAACAGACCCTAATACAAATAACTAAATTATTTCAACACTCCCCCTCAAGTTGGAGCATAGATGTCAATCATGCCCAACTTGTCACACAGATCATTGTGCCGCACATGATGAAGACCTTCAGTGAAGATATCTACAAGTTGTTCTTCTGAGCTGACATATGGAGTACACACTTCTCCATTTACAAGCTTTTCTCTGATAAAATG